ATTTGTTTGTTAAATCGTTTGTACAATTTATTAAATTGTTTGTAACATCAAATGTCTGTACGATTTAACACAGTGTGTTTTAATCCTTTTGATGAATAGGTAGAGGTAAATCGTTTGAAATTTATATCGTTTGTAGTTTTAAATCGTGTGTTTTAATAAATCGTTTGCCCAAACATAAATCGTTTGTACTGTATTTAATAAATCGTTTGTACAATTTAGTAAATCGTTTGTACAATTTAATAAATGTTTTCAATTTGTTTGTTAAATCGTTTGTACAATTTAACCTGCATGTCCCCCTTTTTTCGTTAAAATTGATATTTCCATTTACCATTACTTCATTTCATTCTTTCTACAAACATTTATTAAATCGAAAACGATTTATTAAATTGTAGACCTTTTCACTTTAAAAAAAAATATATACAAAGTTAAAATGGCACTTGTTAGATATGAAGTATTTCTACACTTGTCCCCCTGTGTTTCCTTTGTGCCTAAACATTGCTTTCCCCAAAAATTCAAATAGCAAAATATAACTCTTTTCTATTTGTGTTTCTTAATTAACCTGCCTCCTTTCTTTTTCGTTAAATGCCCACATTCACCATTACTTTATTTCATTTTTTTTTCTTTATCGACGTGTATGCAACGTGGCAGACCTTATGACTTTAATAAAAAGAAGTAGTATTTTTTTTTTTTTTACCGCAAATGGTATTTTATTTGATGAAATTCTTGTAAGATCCCATTGTGCTCAATCGTTTTATTTAATTTAAAGCAGTAAATTGAATATCATGTTTTCCCTCCAAAAAATGTGCTGAATACGTGTGATTGAAATTTTCAAGAAATTTTGCATTTAAGATATCATTTCTCTACAGCTGTAACATTACTGAACCGGTGTGTAATTCCAATGAAAACAAACAAAGCCGTCAAAACACAAGCGTGTTGTAAATGGAGACATTTGTCATTTATCATATGAGTAACAATATCATTTTAACATTTAGTTGTATCAAAGATCAGAATGGTTAAATCTCCGGATTTGTCAGGACCAGTGCCGGGCTGGAGATTATCTTCAGGTGTCGCGCAACAATGGCGCGGCGTCTTCGGGAAGACCGCAACCGAACTCTGACAAATAGCTTACATCCTTCTGTCATAATCCAATAAGCAGGAGCTGAATAAAAATAGAATTTGAATCTCATTTGTCTTACTGGAAACGTTTCATTGCGTAGATTTTTGCCTGTCCTCCCGGAATGCGGGAATCCGCTAGTGTACCTGACGATTACCGAATACTATAGCATGACACGGTTGTTGTGCAGGGACTGGACTTAACCATCTTGTCAAATACCCCCTGCCGAAGAGCTAACACCTCACTTTCACTGTGTAAATTCGCGACACTTGTGGAATTAACTTGGGCTATGTGGTCTATTAATCATAATTCACATGGCTTTTGCGATAACTGTTATTTGGTAGACCGCTTTTCGGCAGCTTGAAGTATGTACAACACTGTACAATGTCTTGTTCGTTGTTGCAATTTTTTTCTTGATAAATCGATTTATTTTTAACATCTACTCCTTCAGGTCATAATATTATTTTTTTTTTTTTATATTGGACTCCAAATTCTCTTGTGACAAATTCTTGCAGCATCTTTACCCATACCTCCTAAAAGAGTCTCTCATTCCTAATTCCCACCTGTGTTATTTGTTCATTTTATCACATTATTGAGTAAATCGCAGGGGTTGAAAACGAGAGTATTTTAAAAGTGTTCAGATAATTAACCGTACTTCAAAGAACAAAAAATTGAATGCTGCCCATCGTTGTCTGTTGTGAGCGATAAATGCAATAGAACACCCTGATGAAGGTCGTACGTGCACTCACACGTAACTATGATTCAAAATTAGCTTAAGTTCGTATGTGTGGTTGTCTGTGATAAAATGTCATCACTCTGTGCGGTAGAGTGACCGTATCTAACATATCACAACAATGGATAAACTACATACCACCATGCAGGTGGTAGGAAAAACCAAAAGTTCAAAATGATGATAGGATTAAAGTAAAAGAAGCCTTCTGGGAGGCAAAATAATTAGTTTCATTTCTGGATTGTCTTTTCAACACGAAATATTATTTTTATTATCGATACTGTATTGAAAAATTCATTTTTACGTATATACCGAGGCAAATTAAAGAAGGGCAAATTTTTATTAAGAAAAGAATTATTGCAAGTTAAGGTTTTTTTGTTGTTTAATTTCAGCACTTTTTATTAGAAGTACGACTGCCTCGTAAATTGCAAATTTGAAACCAATCGCTAACAAGTTAGTTCAGTTTGCCCCTAAGCGAACTGTGGCAAAGATATCCAATTCTAGGAAGAAGGCGGGGGAAATGAAACACTTAAGAAATCAAACACCACGAATATCCTTGGGTTATGACTTTTCATTAGCTCTTTGCCTGCGAACAAGTTGCAAGCACGTGCACTCGCTTTGGTCGTGCGGACGGAAAACGATTTTCCGTTGCTGTAGAATCATTGTACGCATGCGCTTCGAGTCATGGTGATGCTGGAGGGTAACAATAAAGTTGGAGTGAACAGATTAAAAACTCCAGTGTAAAATTTCACCTGTTGTTAAGCGTGCATTACAGATTATGCCCGATGGCATCTAAATAAAAGTATCAATTTGGATGCCAAATAATTTTCCTTACATGCTTTAGTCTGCTTCTTCAAGACACCCCAACCTCAACATCGAAACGAGTATCTTGGCCCGTAATTAGGCTATCAAATACGTATTTATGACTTACTAAAATAAAAGACAATACTTATTTTAAGTCGGATAACATAGCCAAAAAAAACCTCTGAAGAGTTATTTTCCGACATTTTTTTCTGTCTGGATATTTTTACTGAGTATTTTGAGAGGGGCGATTTTTATCAAATTAAGCCCTCTTTCCCGTCTGTTTTTCTATTCAAAAGAGAAACGGAAGTTTTTATGAAATTATAATTCACAGCTTTATACGACCTTCAAAATATATTGAAAATTCGTGTATATATATAGTTGAATTCAAAATTGTTTTCTTCAATGCGGATTTCATTGGCTAATGTCTATTTAAATAGATACATGCATATTTTTGTTCACAAAATCAAATATTCGACGGGAAATTGACTGTATGAACTGCGACTGACAGCGTTCAATGATCGATTGGTTCAAGAGAGACAACTGCTGCTCCCATAACATTATTAGCGTTCTTCCCTGAAATATTTTTAATTATTGGATATAATAATTATTTATTAGGCTACATTCTCTCCGAGGAAATATTTTCTTCCGATCGAAAAATTATTAATACATCAAATTAACACCATGCAATAAACAATTAAAATAAAAAATAGTAGTTTATGAATTATATAAAAAGCTAGTCTATAATATCCTTGAAATGATTAGTCTTTGTTTATTACAAAAGAACAAAGTTACATGTATGTACAAATATTATCATTGTTATGATTAATGATAACTACACAAAACAACAATTAAGCAAAACAAATGAAAAACTGAAGCAACGTCTTTCGATAAGAGAAAAAATATTTATATATTTTTTAAACAGAAGTAATATGTGCTTGAATTAAAATGTTATGTTGAATATAGGGAAGAACTTGTAGTTGCAACCACTATTGAAATACGACCACTATTGAAATAATTATTTCAAGAGAGGTTGAAAGTGCATTTCAATAACAAACATAGTTTGCAACCATATTTGAAATAATTATTTCAAAAGCGGTCGTTATTTCAATAGTGGTTGCAACAATCCCATGTATACTACAGCAAAACAAAAAATATGTTTGATAAATTAACAAAAGCGGGAACATCCAAGAACGTTATGTAAATTATTATATTTATTACTTTCACACAACATTTCTAAAAGTTCATTTTATTATCGACTTTAACTTTTATAATAAAATCATGAGATCCTTTTTGTAGCCCGGCACATTCAATGGGCAATGGTTTTTCTAAATTTAATAGTGTTAATATTTGACATTTGAATGATTTGATAGATTTTAATTGAATAATCTGATGACGAAATAATTTATTAGCTACTAATGAAATCCTAACTGATAGATGTACTTTTACTTATAAGATATAGAAAAACATTGAGGTTCGAGAATATTATTGGAATGTTATCAATACGTTAAAATAACATGCTGATCTCTCTCTCTCTCTCTCTCTCTCTCTCTCTCTCGTTATAATACCTGACTTTTTCTTCAAGGTTGTTAATGAAAGCACGTTATATGTTGAGGTTAAAAAAAATCGTTGTAACATGTAGCATCAACCTGAATGTTGGGAATAAAATGTAACATTTTGGGGGGAAATAAATCTCAGTTTAATCATTACATGTACTAATAAGTATAGGGTTGTCTTCTGAAATAAAATGCGTTGTCCTTGAGCATTTTGAAGTATTGATCAAAAAGATAAATTTCAAAATTTACATTTGTGAAAACTTTAAAATCTATTTTATATAATCCTGTTCTTAGTTTTATAGAACCAAAATACTAGAAATTTGAAATCAATCTATAAGTTTTAACCTTTACTTAAACATGAATATGCGACAGAATACATGTATCTGTCAAATAATAAACTATGTTCCATTGTCGTTCACCAAAACCAACAACCAGTATGCACCACTGAAAGCATAATCTCTCAAAGATAAATACCACTGAATCAGAGAATAGGAATTTTAAAGACTAAAAAATTCAGAATTCAGTATTATGTCATCTGGCTGACAATATATTGATGAGTTTACGCAGGTCCAGGAATTTTCGTACATCTATACGATACTTCTGTGTTATATTAAACAATGCATTTAAATCCCTCAAAAAAGTTTTTTTTTTCTAAATTTCTGCACACACATGCCAATCACCTGTATAAATAATCACCTTTAAAAAGCGTCTCAATAGCACACGTTGCAGGCATTGTTATCTTGTAGAGGCGGTCGATCTTCGCCGGTAGGCGTATTTTAAGCGCTGAGAATTCCTGCCTTGTTTTACTGTCTTGATCAAGAATGACGGAATAAAAGCGAACTAGCGATCTTAGCATGTCTTTTGTGTGTGCCAGTTATAAAATGTATTGAAATATAATACGTATTTTTAAAATAAAAAAGCATTTTCCATCCTGTGCATGCAAGCTTCCATTACAACGAGACAACAGCAATTGCCTGTCGTATAAAAACAGCGTTTGGAAACTTAAGATATTTCAGGTAAGTTTACATTGTTTATATTTCATTTATTTCAGAATTTCATAAATGAAGTTTAATATCTTGTCACATTTTTTTATTATTATTTGAAAGGGACAATTTTGCTTCCTTAAAAATACTATTAAAAGCTTAACACAAAGAATTTGTAATCGAATGAACTATTTATCCTATTAGGGAGGCATTTAATGCACACAAAAATCGGCAGGTGAAAATCGATAGTAATTAATGGTTTTGATTTTCAATAATTTATTGGTTTAAATTATCTAGAAACCTAAATAAACTTATTTAAATGTATTTCAACTTGACAACTTTTCCATTAATCACATTGGACGCGTATAATTGCACTAATGTAGTTTAAAATGCATCTTTAAGCCTTTAATAAAGATAAACTTCTTTGAACTTCGTAAGGGAGTTTAAAACTTTAACGGTCAAAAGTTTGTATCAATATTTTCACAATTTTCCTTTTTTAATGTCATTTTTCACAATTTTCCCTAAAAAATGCAAAAATTATAACCAAAAAAGAGTATAGTCTTTATAGCATTTGAATTTATAAGGCATGTGTGCAACAGGGAAAGGGGAGAGGGAAAGAGACATAACCAAGCCACCTGCAGACTAGATCAGATGGCATGAAGCGAAAACTTCAGCATGAATCGATCTTTTATTCCAATTTTCAATTTTTTAATATAACGTTTCAATTTAATCTTTCTTGTTTGGAGGGCAAAAAAAAATCTTAAATTTCCCTATGCCTTTCTCCTTCGACAGTCTTATCATAAACAAGGAAGAAAAAGCTAAAATACAAAAACATTCAAATTGAAATTAATTTCCCGAAGATTTTAAATTTTGTCAACCATTAGATTTAAAATCTGTATCTCACTTAAATATTTTTTTTCACATATAACATGTCACTGAAAGAAAGAGATAGGGAAAGAAAAATAATTCTAGCTATATATGTCTGGATTATGTTGATTTTTGTTTTGACTTGTGAAGTTTGTCCGTAAATTCAGTAGAGATGCCTATGAGTTAAAAGTAAATAATTGATATTTCACTTACAAAAAAATGTTGAATTAAATAGGTCCACGAAGTCATTTAAATATTTTTCTACTATAATTTTTACGATGGCTAGTTTTCTATTTTTCTGCCTAGTGGTTGGTCCACTAAAAAATGCACTGCTCTACAAAACAATTCTTTAAACAATGCAGCGTTTAAATGCTCTGATTGAAAGATTATACCACTACAAAGTAGTTAAGACAATAGGATTACAGTAAGGTCGTTCTGCCAAACGCTCGACCATGTGTAGAACTGTCGTGATGCAATCCCTTTCATGACAACAAATTGGTCATGACGAAGATCTCCGGCCTGGAGAACCGACGAGGTCACACAGAAATCCGATAGATCTTTTAAAACAAAATTCTGCAATTTACTTAATTATTCTTTCTGTTTTCAAAGTTTTTCCCTTAATTTTTTTTTAAAGTTTTAACAACATGACTTTGAACCTTTATCTTTATCTTATTCTGAAGAAATCTCCAAAGAAAATTCCAAGAATACTATTTGAAAATGTATTGGCAACATTGTGTGTTAACTAATTTGGATTGGCACAAGGAAAAGCGACAAAACAAGCAAAAACAGCGATTTCAAAATAATTTTGCAGGGTTAAAATTTTTAGAAAAAATAATTTACAGAAAAAGTTAAACTATTGGCAAAAAGCTTTCAGCTTCAAAGTATGCTATTTAAGATTTATATTGTTAAGATTTATATTGCCTTCAACTGAACGCATGATTTTTTTTCTGGCGTTTCTTCCGCGGGGTATGGACTTTATGAAAACTTTCCGGGTTCTAAAACCCCTGTACCCTACACTTCCTTGAATATAAAATGAAACTTTTATTTCAAAGATTTAAATTTCGAAAAAAGGTAATCTACATTTTTAGCTAGATTGACAGATTGACCTTCACCAAACTCTCTCTCTCTCTCTCTCTCTCTCTCTCTCTCTCCTGTACCGTTTTACCTGTATAATTCACAATTACTAACATTTTGACAATGCTTTGATCGCCATCCATGTCTGGTTAAATACCGTATCACTGGTAAAAGTGTTTGATCCTATCAGGCGATGACGTGCCCAAATACAGAGAAGGAACCGTAAACATGTGTTTATACCCATAAAAAAGGCATAAACTCGGTCTAAACTGTACCCCCATCTCGTGACGAGGCTTGTCAAGCTCGGGATACGGCACATGCGGATTAAAAAAATCACATTCCTGGCCCCGTCCCCACTCCATCGGGTCAACATTAACAATATTTGGGACTTACTCATTGTTTACCATGGCGACGTTCGAGTACATGACCATGTCCAAATAGTGAGTTCTGTTTCATATGTAAATTTTTCTGAGCAGTTTTCCTGTAATATATCATTTTCTTGTTTATACTTCAAAATATTTGTAGTGATAGATTTGTCATGACCAGTAATTTATTAGGTGAATAGAACCGGATATATCAGAAAGTCGTATAATGATTTTATCAGTTTATCTGTACAGACATATTAATATGCTACAGGTAATTATACTTTATATTTTAAAATGGAAAAAAGAAGTCTGCATGTCTTTAGTGTTAATTTAATCTTGTAATATGTAGCAAAGTCTCCGATAGCTCTCTTGATTTGCCTTTCTAAGTTTATTATGCGAAGAAAACTTCCACGATTTTTCGCACTTTTCAATTTTGTCTTTTCATGCTTAAGTATACATGTACATAAAAACAGGAAATAGTTAATACCGTACAAATACAAATCCATATACCTTATTATAATTTTTAAATCTGGGCGGAATTTTCTTCTTTTTCACGACTTTATTTTTTTTTCACAATGAATAAGAGAAAGTGTCGTCTGACAAACATAATTTAAAAATGTACCAAGTATTTGTATTCGATTGGTCAAAGCTGCTGTCAATCGATCAGAGTGTTCGATTTCATTACGACTTGCTCGACTTATTTTATTATTCAGCATGATTACTAGTAAATGATTTTGCAGACACGATGCAGATTAGCATTTATTGCATTTTTGTACTTTTGAGATGTCCACAAGGCATTTTAAATGACGATTCCAGCAACAGGCTTATTCTCCCTTGTTTATGCTCCGGATTCTTTCTGTAAACTTCAAACAATTTTAATTAATATTTGCTACGTGATATATTTTCCACTTTTTCATTTCACTCCCGGTATTATCACCTCCTGTTTAATTTTGTTTTGATGATTATTTAAGATTAAAAATATCGGATTTTTCACAGATATCTTATTGCTTTCGAGGAGGGAATTCGAACTTCGCATGTTGATTTTCTCACTTCGGGTGAAAATAACTTTTTGACATACACTTACATTGCGACAATCCTATACTGTTTTCTCTTCCTTCTAAATTTTCCGACAAGTTCAGAGTTTGGAGGAAATACAAAATAATGCAAGGGAACGCGCTTTTCTCCGACAGCGCGAAAACATTAATAATGACCTTTGCATGCTAGGGGAAAAAACATCCTTTCTTTGTATGCAAAGCTTTTAAACATTTTGTGACATTTCAAATCTAGTTTCAAGTTACCGGGTGCTAGCTATGAAACCAATCGGGTAGTAGGTTTTTATGAATTACCTCGTAGGGCTAATGGATGGGGATAGCGAGAAGGGTGCACATTGTGAAAGGGGGATTAATATTACATTAGAGTGATTAATTTGCCGTCGTAATACAATCGAAAGTATATGAGAAAGTGACTAATAATGGAGGTAAAAAATTAAATGTTCCTTTTAAAAAGCATCATCGAAAGCAGACCCAGCAATCACTTGAAGGCTCTTAAAATTAATTTCCATTGTACAGAACATGTATTTTTATTGCGTGTTATGTAAATGATGATTTTAAAAGCTGACTTTAACCTGGAAAATAAAGCAAAACTATAAAATAAGGCACCGGTATTGAATAATGATACACAGCTATTTATAGCATCACTTTAAAAAATATCTTTCAGACACTGTTTTAAGTCTATAATATTCAGACATTGTTTTAAGTCTGCAAAATTCAGACATTACTTTGCGTCTACTAAATGGTGTATCATTCTACCTTAGTTTATTACTCTAAATCACATTACATTGTTTTGGGTCTTCAGAATTGTGTAACTTTTTAATATTTTATTCTTAATCACATTGGTAAGATCAACATGAGCCAATAGCATTGTTTATATTCTGTAAAAACTAAAAACAGTAACTAAAATATAATTAAACATTACCATCTGAGCATTGATTTTTGCAGCGAATATCATTGTGTTTACCACAGTAAACACTTATTTAAATTGTTTTGGCCTAGATCACCAACGCACGACTCCCCAATTTAGTCAAGTCGAACCGGAAATAGTCGTAAAGAATTGTCTTTGATTTGATTTCAGATTTTCTGGAATTCCAATTCAAATGGTCAAACTCTGAAAAGACAACGAAGGCACCCGTGGAGAATGCAGTAACCTTCCTCCACAATCTACCCCAGATACTTGTATGAGAGGGAGCAATTTCAAGCGTTTTATCGATCACAACCTCACAGCACAGGTGTCGCAAAGGTAGGACATTTAAAGAGACAAGTCAGGTGCGAATATGACCACAGTTGAGGTAATAGCAAATATGAGGCGACCATTGAAGTGCCCAATAGAGTTAAATTGCCAAAGCTTTTTAGTTTCAAGTTAGACTTCTTGAGAATTCAAGTTCTGTCAGTGTTGGTGTTGTAAAAAATGGCATGAATTGCTCCAGATTTCATGTACATAGGTAAGAACTTTTTTGTTCATGTTACTTTGTCTTGTATTCCGCTCTTTCTTGTTTTTTCCAAATTTGTCTGTATTTTATGAGTGGCATATGATATTTTGCGTATCAAAATGAGAGCGCAATGAAGCCTGGTTTGTTTCTTTCATATTTCATGAAAATAAAATTATTTAAAGTCATTAAATTTGACTATTAAATGATGTTTCAAAGAGTTGTGAACTCTATCAAACAATGTATCAATTTTCTTGAACATAAACACACAGGGTTGATTTATTCAAATTCTATTATTTTTTATCTTGTTTTTGTATATTCCAAACCCTATACCGCATTTTACAAAAATTTTAGGTTTTTTACTGAATTAAAATTAACTGACAGTATACCCTGTATTCATTTAGTTTTTATCCTTCGCTGAACTGAAACATTAGTAAATTTCCAAATTTTAATTCCATATACTCAATACATCTACTGAGTATATGATATCATATAGTTTCAGCTTCATGTATTGATGTGTTAAAGTCAATAAATTCGTTCAATTGCAGTCGAATTTCCTTTCTATTCTTTTTTTCATTATTATGACTAAATAATAACCTAGTACCAAAAGCTGTATTGACTAAAAAGTGTAAATATAGATAGAGAGAAAATTTATCGTGAAGTTATTTTTTTATTAATTTTGTTTAAAAACTTCTGAAAACTACGTATATCTATCACAAGAATATTATTACATTTATTTAGTAAACCTACAAAAATAAGAATAATAGCCCAATAAAGTTGCATTCAGATTCTTTAATGGACTTTTGATCTTGAATACTGTTCTTTATATCCATTTGTTTCAATGTTTAATTCTTACTGACAGAGTATATTAAAATATTATATAGTGATAAATAATTGATTAAACTATTCTAAAATCATTTATTTGTAATCAATAATTGAAAAAGAATAAGTAAGCTGTGAGATTCATGTTAAAGAAAAAGAAAGAGACGAAACATTTTAGTCTGATTCTAAAAAATTATACCGTTCTCCATCGCATAAATGTGTATGCTAACACGTCTTGAGATTTTATAGTCTTGAAATTACATATATGCTCCGTTTATCAATACACCATCAAAACATTTATTTTATGTAACTGACTGCACATGATTTACTGATAAACGATCAATAAAACATTAAAAATGCACTTTTTTTCTAAATGTGGAGCTCCTTGTTTCAGATAGATAATTCTGTACCATGATAAGCGATTTCATATTTTCCATTCTACAGTACAATAAACTGGCTGACCGCGAGACTGACACACGACATGACTTCATTAGAAGACATCTAAAAACTTAAAACGGACAAAATATCCGTAACTACCCACACGCTGACCACCGACTTCTTCAAATGCCATTTTCATTATTCAGTGGACGTCCAATTACTTCCGGTCTGTTGAACGGATTTCCGCTCATTATAGAAAGTTCGTCATATGAACTATCAAGCATACATCAGATTGAAAGTTCTCGTTTAAATCAATGTTGCCAATTCCTTTTTTTTTCAAAGACAGAAAAACTCGTTAACATTGTTCAAACGTTTTAGAAAATGATGAAAATGTATTTAGACTCATATTTCCAAAATCGCTAAGAGCTCAAGCAAATCAGTGAAAGCATGTAAAATTACATTATAAAAAACACTGACACTGAATTATTTTTTATCATTTTAGAGGTGACAGAGATGCCAAGCATCCATGAAGAGATCTGTGCAGGGTGTGGTTACCCCATCCGTGATAAATACTTGTTAAAGATAAACGACAATGTCTGGCATGAACACTGTTTGCAGTGCGCCATCTGTCGGCTTTCCCTCTCCGGAACTTGTTACAGCAAGAACGGTCACCTATACTGCAAATCAGACTACGACAAGTGAGTACTTTTTCCATAGTCTCTTTGTTGTTGTGTTTGTTTCCAAACATGAAATTTAATTAAGAGAGAATTGCTGATGTCACCACTTTATTAAAAACGACATCTTGTAGTACCTATCTGATACCACAGGCACTTGTTTCGAGAAAAAAAGTTATTCCATTATACTATGGGTCAAAAATTTATTACAGAAACAAGTGCCTGTGTCTGATACATAAAAAGACTTGAAACTGACATTGATTCTTGTTAAGTAAATCACATGTTGATGTAAAAGACTCCTTCTTTGCCAAAGTGTTATATGCATTATTAAAAGTCTATATTTTTAAAATTCTTAAAATTACACATTCGAGTAGCGTGGTACTCACTCGACGGAAATATTCGTCAGTATTTACAGATCCAAGCTGTGTTGATAAATTATGTAATGGAGGAAACATTCTGCTAAACTAACACCATGATCCAACGAAAACGACCAGAAGGCCTATAGAACACGCTCCTCATGTAAAATAAATGTGTATCTACTTGGCCATTATCGACACAATACTCAGACAGTGATCTGCCAATGCCGGTTTCTCTTTTTTGTTGAACATCGAACACATTTTTGAAAACCAAACAAAATATGCAAACATGTCAAAAGTGCTAAAACAAGGAAAACATGGGTACAGTCAATATTTATAAACCGAATCCGACTGTTCAGGTTTTTAATTATTATTATTTCTAAGTTTATTTCAGTATTGTATTTTTCCTGTATATACTGTAAATATTTGAAGTTTTTTACGGCCTTAATTTTGTTCATTCATGAATACTTTATTTGAGAAAATATAATGGCTAAAACAAACAGCACTTAACTAACAAAACGGATTATTGCACTCAGTATTAATAATAAAGAAAGAAAAAGAAGAAGAAAAAATGTAAATTATTTTACATCTGCTTTATTTTGTCTTTCTCTGTCTCTGTCTCTTTCTTTTTAGTTCATTTATTTATTTATTTATTTATTTATTTTTCACAGTACAGAGTCAGAAATATTGCTCAGTATTCTTAAGAACTCTTCTATTGTTCAAATATATCTTGTATGTTTCTCGACCTTCAAGAAATAATGGCCTATATTATGCTGATTGCCAAATTTATACAGATATACATCTAATTCAACATATTTGTATGCTGGACCGATACAAATAAATTTAGGGGGTTGCCATACTAGTGTTTTATACAGGAGTATTCCGCTTGAAGCCAGCGTAACGATTTCCACCCGCTCCGTGACACATATTCAGATGAATTCAACCCAATCTTTTATTTTTATTGGATTTAGCATTTAAAACACCATTGTGCCAATTTTTTAAGTAAAAATTTAAAATTCAAATAAATAAAATTCGATTCAATTGATCCGATTACAAACTGCAAATGTCTCACATTCGGTCTGAATAGCCGAGTCTTTCGCTTTCAGCATTTGAGATCAGGAATGATATGACGTTTCATTCACGGTTTGTTTGCACGAAACTTTCCATATCAATGCAAGAGTAATTTCAAATTGACAAATCTCAAATTTTTTTTGAAAAATAAATTGAATAAAGGTCTTGATCGCATATTTTTCTCTTTCCGTTAGACTGTTCTCTCGGACATAATAGGATTCAAGGTGTTGAGAATTGCTATTGTTTTCAAGATTGATAGTCCGTGATGAAATAGACATTACCGGTGAAAGGAAACGAGTAGGGGGATGCTATCCCCATTTATGACGGCTCATTGTTAGTCCTCTACATAGATAACCAATAAAATGACCTTATCAATTTCAAATTAATCAACACTGTCAAAAGCGTTAACGAAGGATTTGACAAACTACTGGGGTTCTCTGTACCCACAGGTAAACGTAGGAAAATGGTAAATCTAGGGATCTTGTTAATCTAGGGATCTGTCTTCTTAGAGTATTAGGGTTAAAAAAAATTAAAAGTTCATATGAGATTTGAATGAGAAGCCCAACCCAAAAGGTTCCATTTCAACTTTAATTGACAATTATTTGTAGATTTTCATTTTTCAAATTTATTTTAAAATTATTTCAAGTTTGTGGTGAGTCAATTCATTGAAACAGCTATAGGTATGGGTTTCCATTGCGCCTTAATTGTACATGTCACTTGGTTAAAAAAAAACAGCTTTGTTCGGGGGTTATCTTGGCTTCCTGTGTAACCGTCTGTTTTCTTAAGTTTTTTACTTGTCAGATATTTTCACCGACCCCCAGAATCCAGTATTTCTTTGTACTCGACTTTTATCTCCGATTGTTTGGAGTACCCCTAACACTATGAGAGTGTCTGTTTATATATTTGGGTGATATTTGGCTGTAAGCATTGTACAATTGTTAAGCAAACTTACGAAAACACAAGTCATCTTCTTTTTTAATGACCCACACGAAGTTGTCGAACAAAGACATTCTAAAGATTACAAAAGAAAAACCGTTAATCCTGTTGTTTTTCCATCAAATTTACAACGTCATATCAGATGTCTTTCATATAGATATTAATTTTGAGCAATTGAAGAATAGAAAAGATATACAAGAGGTAGAAAAAGATTTTTAATATCAACCACGAAAGAAGGTTAGACTTTAAAAAGTCCAGCAATTAGAAAATAATGAATGAAACGTCTACATGTATTTTGAGACGACGGTTAAGTTGTTTCAGTGCAAATAAAGATTTGGATATCTAAAGCATTGTAGACCACTCATTCCAAAAGATTGTCAAGTGCATCGCGCTCTGCCGTGCCTCTTGATTTGAGTTTAATGTAAACTCATCGGTGGCAAGTGAAAGCGAGCAATATTTATTGTTTAGACCCTCGAGGAGAAACACTTCTTCTCTTTGAACGAACCCCACTTTGAGAAGTTTCTAATATAAGACCCACAATCGAGTACCCCTTTTTTGTATCCAACGCGTCATTAAAATATTCGCAAAACACAACGGATTTCAATTTAATACAATATGCTATTTTGAAGATAACAGGTTCTCTATTTATTTTTAGTTTTTTTCTGAAAGTAATTCTTTTATGCTTATTACCATACCAAGGTTTCTTAGTGAAAAGATGTTGTTCGTTAACAATTCTTACGTTTGACAATTTGGGCATAGGGTTCAGATGCGTAGAGATATATTTGCTGACAAGTTCTGATCGAGCAAGTAATTATACTATTAATGTCAGACGATTGCTTATCGCAGAAAAAATGATTAGTGAAATGAAAGTGACACACGTAAAACTTGTGTGATATGCTTCTTACTAAAAGCCGTCACTTAGTGGTTGATAAAGGGTCACGACAACTATTTAAAAAGTATACACACATATACAAAAGAGATGACGGATGCAGTTTTTAAACAAAGTATTACGTTTCATAAGTATTTCAAAATACAAGTCTTATAAATGTCTTACCTTATTTTCTTGGTTTAATTATTCTTTTTTTTTTACTTAGAAAACAAATATAAGAGATTTCCTGAACTTGAAAATACTGCTTTATTGTAACTTAACTGACCTAGTGACTTGAAGATCAAGAACACAGTGCAAGACGATAACTGAATGTAAAGATGCTGACTTTCGTGTGAAGTCCATGATTATCCGCGGAGATATGATCTCACGGTTATCTTCTGAGCAGTGATAATTCGTCACATAGTTAACGCTTTAACTCACAGCAATGTCTGCTCGGGGTGATGCAGTAAAAAACCTGATATCTTTTCTTCACAAAGACAAAGATTGTCTAACAAGAATATGTCTGACTTTTTTTGCTGATAGAAAAAGAGGCTGATGACGTTTTTCTTCTCTCTATAGATTATTCCGCGGGCGGTGCAGCGGTTGTGGATTCAGCATAGACCCCCAAGATTTAGTCCGCCGAGTGTACTCGAACACGTACCACCTGCCTTGTTTTCGCTGTGTGGAGTGCGGACACGTGCTACAAAATGGAAACGAGTTCTACATCAGAGACGGCCAGATCTTTTGTCGATATGACCACGATAAAGAGTTCCACATACCCTCATTCAGCCCAAAAGGTAAGCTAGTCCAAAGACTTTCAGTGGAAAGTGTGACAAAGCAACAAAAAAAAAAGATTTACAAATGTTGTTAATTTATAGAAGAGCTCCTGAATATTTTCATAATTTTAGAAGAAAGGAATCCCCTCGTCCTAAATCTGAATTCACACAAAAATTGTTAATTTATGATTAATATTTACTTGTATAATAAACAAGACAACTAGCAACACAGATTAAGGTCTGCGATGCGCTTGATACAAATGGATTTCGCCTTTATAAAAATAATAATTTGTAATATATTGTCAATATTGTATTTGAGTTAAAATCTACAAGTATATATGGATAATATTTTGTTTAAACGTGAAAAGTTTCTTTGAAATAAAACGTACGTCTATCTGAGGTAAAGGCCCCACAGTTACTTGTATTGTGCAGATGTTCATAAGCAAAAAGACCAGTCGTGTAAAAAGTGACTAAATATTTCTTTTATTCAAGGGTTAAAATGTGTCATACATAAGATATGCTGTAAAACTTTCTCCAAATATTGTTGTAGACTGTTTTCGTCGATTGATATTTATCGTTGTATACAATACATATTGTTCGTGTGTAAAGCCGGTTTATCAATATTTAAGCTACTAATATGCAGGATACCCGTCTAAGTACCGGCTAACATAACGGAAGTGTGTCAATGTTTGTACACGGCAGAAAAAGAGAGATCATCATCTGGGGAATTCAGGGTCTAACACTTTGGGGAGTACCGGGTCAATTACTGATTTGTTTATGGTAGCAAGCTAACAATGGCCCAGTGTTGTAGACAACCAGGAGCAACATGCAGTGTTTTATTTGTTTTTCTTCCATTGTTTCGTGGTTCATAAGCCAAAAGAGGGAGAGAAAGAGAGAGTTTTCTAACAACCTTGTAAAGGGTCTTTATAGAACCTTGTCCCATAACTTTCTTTTTCTTCCTTTCTGTGGATGACCTTCTCTTGTGAAGTTAAATGTTCTCATGTCGACCCAGGGAGGGAGAGTAATTGGACTTGGCTTGTTAATCATCGGTCCCGAGGACTCTTACATCGTCCCATTGTCAACCAGCGCTCAGAAACAAGTCCATTCATTGTGTCCAAAACAATTTCTTCTTTGAAATACCTTTTGAGAATTTGTTCTGTTTTTTAAGATTTAAAGAGAAGTTGATAAAGGTTTTTATCAGATTAAGCAATACTTCAACACTACCCAAGTACCAATTAAAATACTTATTTTGGTCGCTTGATCATTGTCATATATTTAAAGCATTTTAAAATCATATTTGAAAAATTTGATATGCAGAAGTGCAAAAACTTGTTTTTTATTGTAAAAAATATAGGTATTTTGGTTATGACCGAGAAAAATTAAACACTTTAGTTTAAGGTAAAAGAACTTCGACTGTGAATTGCGATTTTCTTTAACACACTTATCTGGCACACAAAGCATTTAGCAATCCATTTCTTCAAACGACGTGACGATTTCAAATTGTCATTCTTCAAGTGAATCTTTTAAACAAATGCTTAAGGCCTGTTTGTATCAGCCAACGATAAAAAGTTCACATTAGATACATAAAAATCCACACGTGTTCCGTCTTTGGAGCCCCATACCGGGTCAGGTATGGTTTAGGCTAGTCCACAAAAGCTCTGTTCTGCCGGCTCTGTAAGATTCTCAGCGTCCACAGAGGCGAGGGCAGCAAATCAATAAAGCTCAATACATTTGTCAATTTATTTAATTCGAAAATCCAGAAATACAACGAAGCTTGTTTGACTAGGAAACACTTGGCACACAGCGCGGCGAGTCCCCCGCCCCTTGTTGTGTAACGCTATTGTTTTGGTACTTCGGTTTTAAGCTATTTATTGAAATCACACATTTGCTTTATACCGATGTTTTTTAAGTGAAATAATGTGATATTTGGTCGGTCATTGCTTAGCCTGTACAATTTAAAACACTCTCTTTCCACCCCCAATATCTATTCTTATGTTCGAGTATCAAATTTGTTTCGCCGCAGTAAAAAAAGTAGATTAAAGTTTCCCTCCCTCGATGCCGATTTGTATTTTATTTAGGCACGTTACACGAATCATTGGTTCCCAAGTATCTCTATGTGTTAAACTTCCTCGTGTTTCATATCAAATTACTGATAGAGGACTTCCACAGACAGCTTGATTAACCCCTGCTTTGTTGTTTTTAAGCACTTGGCCACTCAAAATGTTTTCAATTTCAAAAAAAATTATATGAATATCTATTGCCCTTCTTTCTAAAAATTTCACATCAGTAACAAATGTAATAGAAAATAGTATTTTTTAAAAGGTTGTTGGCTCCAAAATCCAATTAACGTTTTTAACTAACAGAAGAAAAGTAATCAAAAAGATAGCACGCGCTAAAAAAACGGACCACCGCATTGATATTCATTAGCTGGATACCCTCGAATGCACGTGCAATGATTGTTATGTTTGTTTGAATTTGTTTTTTAGTGGATGAAGACAGTGATAGCTACGAAGATTTCGATTTGGACGTAGATCGTCAGGCCAAACGACCAAGAACCATCCTAACCACAAGTCAACGAAGGAAGTTTAAGCAGGCTTTTGAAGCCAATCCAAAACCGTGCCGCAAGGTAAGAATTTTTCCGGATAAATGAAGCATTTACATTTTTTGTTGTTGTTGATAATTTTTTGTTTGGCTTGAGATTTAATGGTGTTAATGATGTATTTTGTAGGTTCGTGAACAACTTGCAGCAGAAACAGGGTTAACTATAAGAGTTGTCCAAGTATGGTTTCAAAATCAGAGAGCCAAGGTAAGATCAAAAGCAAACAGTAGAACAATATTTCTTTTTGTCTTTAATCAGTTGTTTTATTAATTCATTTTATTTCCATTGATTTATATTTGATGGTCATATTTTCTATATAAAGTTATTGCAAAAAAAAATTAACAATTTTTTTCTTAAATAGGTGAAGAAAACTTCTCGGAAGGGTGGTAAAGAGACAAGTGAAAAGGGAAGAAAACGAAAACTTCGAAGTGAGGATGGAGAGAAGGATGGGTTTCAAGAATATGAGGATATGAATAGACCCACATCTGACAACGAAGGTGAGCGGTTTTGCGGAAAGGGGCAGCCAGAAAAATTTGGCAACTTAGTGACTTACTTGAAAAAAAAAATTCACATGGGGAAAAAAGAATATTTCTAAAGCTCCAATTTCTTAATGAGTGGATGGGCCTGGTAGGTTTTTGACAAAAAGGTATATAACGTGAGGATTTGACCCTACAACAAAAAGTGAGGGACTGAAGGGCAACTGGCCTTTCAGTAAACATTCTCATACTAAATCCATCAAATATTTTCATACTAGATTAAAGGTAAATCCTGGTAACAGTTTTGACAAAGAGTGGGGGCAGGGTTGTACCCTCTGCAACCCTCCCGAAACATTGTACTTGAGCTTTTATTTAACAAAATTATTGCTGTAAATAAGGGACTTTACTTACTTGCGGCTAAAATAGAATTTAGTGGTCACAAAAACATCTTGAATTTGTAAACGTTGGCTCTAAGAACTTCGTCTTAATTTACCTTATTGTCCAAATAAATGTATAGAAATGTTTTTTTTTTACAGGATCAATGTATTCAAACATGGACAGCGGCAGTAATATGTTTCTGGAAATGCCGACTTCTGATGATTCTGACGAGTCGCCTGTCCCTCCCAGAATAGACAGCTGCCAAGATGGCGGCACTCCCTGTCCTACCAATCACATTAACAAGCTGTATTCAATGCAGACCTCTTACTTTTGTGCGGAGTAGTCGGAATGGTGATTCAGCGATTTCGTCCATTTCATTTATTCCGCCCAAATCCGGTACACTGGTGCATTACAAAAGTTAAATTTCACTTTCGTGTATATATTTTAAAAATTATATATTTATTATTATGCTTTTGCTGCAGAACTGCAGTCATGTTGTCTCATGTAATGGGAATATACTGTTGTGTCCATTTTTCCGCTGTACATGAAGCAGTCTGGTGCTTCTGTTGTACTTATTTCAATGTTATGGGGTAAAATTATTAACATTTTCCTTGCATGCGATTAATTTAAGAATCCATCTTTACACGTCATAAGCTCTTGTCCATACATACTTAGCATCACTACAATTCTCATAAAATGAGTTCATGAACGAAATTTTCACACACAAGTTCATTAAAATGGGCTTGATCATCCAGCCATGTCTTTGTTCTCAAATAAGGTAAGAAGACATAATTAGCTACTTAGAATAAATAGAATTTTATTTTTGGAATAAATTTCTGCATTCACCGCCGCCATCTTTGTTTTTCAACACCTGGCCGTCCTGTACATTGTCTGACCACGATAGTTCATGTATGTTGTCAGATTACTTTTACTTCCCTGTGTTAATATTTTGTAGTATTTATTATTTCTTTATTGATAATAAAACGTTTATGTGATCAAATTCTTTTTTTTTATCAGTCAATTTCAACTCGTTGGATTTAGCTTACTCGTACAGCTCACATTTCAATGTCATGAGAAGCTCCTGACAACACTTGGGAATTTTTTTCCAAAGTGCAACGAGTGAAACCCTCCTCTTTTCAACCTGAGTTTTTAAATAAAAAAATGAGTTTCCTTATAAAGTTAGGTTATATTCTCAGGTTGTGTTCTGTGGAGCATTTTTGGTATTGTCTCTCCCGACAAAGATCTTGTTTGGATTTCTCACGGATATCTCAATCTGACGTAAATCTGCGAGGTTTATTCAGGGTGCTTGAGTATTGTCGTCCCATTGATTCACGAGAAATACTATCAGTCAAAGACAAGTTCATTCCTAAAAAAGTATTCGTACACACATGGATTTTCTTTTATATCATTTGATATGCCAGATGAATTTTAAACCGAATGATTGTCTCGGTTGATCGGGATTGGGTATTCAAAATGGGTCAACATAAACAAAGCTACGTCACAATCGACGTGAACCGAGAAGGCTGGTTCCTGAATGAAGGATGTCTCCCCCAAAATGACAGTTAGTGACCCCGATAAATGCTCTGCCGATAAGACAATCACATCTGAATAGGTGGAGCGGTCCCCTCTACCTAGCTCTACAAAGTAATAAATCGAACGATCGAATCAGACCTAGAACTTCTTCCACGAAGAGACTTGAAGACTATACCAAAACAGATAGGAATGATTGATTTCTTCAAAAAATAAAAACTTCTGTAGCCAGAATTCCACGGGCAGCAAGACATCTTGGATAACAGTTTCTACATGTGAATTGTTGACGATTTGCAATAAAGTTCATGCACAGAAATCTTTACTTGCTACATAGAAATAACACATTTGTGAACAAGTTATAAGAATATGTTCCACTTCAATACAAATATCATCTTGTTAAAAAAAAAGACATATTTTATTTTTGCAACATTGATTTTTTTTTAATTTGGTTACAGCAATTCTGATTGTCCAATATATTTTCCGCAACACCGATTCCAATAATATTTTTTTCCATTATGTAAGCAAAATAACACATTGAATTAGATTATTTTATGCGTCACCCATATAAAAATTGAAAAAATTTAAGCATTTTATCATGCTTCATGCGTTTCGAACACGGTCCGTGTTCCAGAAACACAACGCCCTTTATTGTATTGCACCATTACGGTACCTGACAGTTGCTGAGGTTTTTTGAACAGCGGAGTATTAAAATAACATAAAAATCTACCGTTTTAAATCATTACACCGGGCTTAACGACGTGAAATTTTAGGTTAAATGACCCGAGTAAATTTGAGATGAAAGACGGTGCAAGAGGTCGAATGGAGTGGTGTGAAATCGACGTGCCAACGATCTCATGATGACAGATTGAGCATGCGCTGTCATCGTTGCCTAGAGTTCTTAGAAAAGGTTTCTTTATTATTGTAATTCCTCGTGTTAATTACAACCATATGCTAGTATTCTTTGAAAGCAAGAACACAGTGTTGGGCGTGCATCAAAGTAACTCGGATTTCAAAAGTATGATATTTGAATGAAATTCAAATAAGATCACATGACTGAATCAGCAAGATGGAAGATCACCTTTGACGTTCGAGGAACTCTGTTGTCGTCTGGAGCAGACACGGCATGTCGGTACCAGTAAGATTCTGTCAGCAAAAAAGACGTTGACATCTTTAATGTAGGAGAGAAGAAAAAGGTAATCCATTCCCCTAATACCAGGAACACAATCCTTTATTCTCACACCGGATTGTTTATGCACTTTTTGGGTGCATACATGTCACCACAAGAATATGTAGATCTCTGGTATCAAAATTCATATTACAAGATAGGCATAAAATGTAACATATTTTTAATTGGGGGTTTAACATATGTTAATACAACGATAAGAGAGTTGATTTAATATAGCCAAAAGTCACTCGGAGGAAGTGAATTTGTTTCACATTTCCCTCAAGGAGGCAGATTTTATTTCTTTCAAATCCTGTTTGAAATATTTTTCTTTGGCAAAGATTGGTTTGTTATACATTGAAATATACACAGGGTGTGTAATAAATCAGTAATTTGGATAGACTATTGAAAGCAGGATACCTTCTAATGTTTACAATTTTAAATGCTTAAAGGACTTTTTTTTGTTCACTATAGGAAATGTTAATTGAAAGCCTGTACCGGTTTTATAACCCCCTTTCTACTTTTAGAAATGTACTGAAAATGTAGTATTAAGAATTGGTACTTTTTTTTAAAAGTAGTTGACAAAAAATGCAGAAAAAGTTCTTTGGTTCATACAAATAATCACCCCCCCCCCAAGAATGAGATTTCTCTTGTGAATAATCACTTCTACTAAGAACCTTAAATCATAAGATGCAAGAAAAGAAAATTGTTACACGAAATAAAAAAAATCAAGTTTCATTTTGAGACGGATTCAATTTGATCATAATTCTTCAAACTTGTTCCTAACTGAGAAGTTTTAGATGGAAACCCATAAGAATGTTCGCCTTACAGACTCTTTCTTTTAAAGAATTTTCTGAGAATTGTTTGTTTTCAAAATTCAATGGCGCACCATAATTCTCTGCTCTGAAAACTCAGTCTAAAAATATTATTATTAAAGGGGCTGGGGGTTGCAGCCATTTTCAGACTATTTCGATCTCCTTTAGAAGAATAGCTCCATATAAATAGATATACAAAAATTATCAAATTTTAAAACTAAAATGTATGAATTTTTTCTTTGCCAAAATTTGTTGACTCCCCAGCCTTCTTAAATATTAAATTTAATACGGCACACCACAATACTCTGTTCTGAAAACAATTAATGTCTAAAATTTATTGAATATTCTCTCCAACAATAATAAACAAATACAATATATTTCAAAAAAGTAATTGTGAGACTTTAGATAATTTGGCTGTATTCCCCAAAATACTAAGGCGATACCTGTTGCATTATTCACAGAAGGTGAAAGTTCAGAGATAAGCTTTACATCAAAACATGACAATAGATGGGTGAAATAGCATGCGTGCCCTTGTCAACAACTCAATACAGCTGTACAAAAACTTCGAAACCAGAATCACTTGTCTACAGTGTATCGGTTTCAAAATTTCGACCTTTTGTGTCGCATGCCAGATTTATAACCACAACACGCAACGGGTGCACTACCCGACTATTCGAACGTGAAAGAATCGTCTACGATAGAGACATTTTGAAAAGAGCGCTCCTCTTACGGTCTTGCAGCAGAGAAAATGCTATTTTGAATTATGTTTTTAGCATAAATTTAATTTAAACGTATGCATTAGAGCAAATGTATACTGCGATCAAGAGACTGAGCTTTAAAATATGTGCTTTGAACCTTGTCATTTCTCAGCAGCTTCCGGAAGTCCAAACTAAGACAGTTTTTTAACGATAATGTAGACTTCCGGTTTGACTTTTCAATGAAAGTTGTGTGAAGACTAAAACAAAATATCAATAAGAGTTCTTCAGGACATACGCAACGTACCTCTCCTACTGATAATTTTTCAAGATATTCTAAATTTAAACTTACAATATCATTACATGTTCTTAGACAAAATATCAGCATGCGTTACCAGGGGTTTTGAAAAGATATCAAATTATGAATATTTTTGCATTATTCGAAGGAAAATACACAAAAATTACAAAACATAAATTCCAGATTATTTTTCATCAAAAATTGTTTTAGAAGAGGTGTACAAATCCATATATAGACATTAAAAGTATTGCACACGGGTCCTTCATTTAGTGGAACTCTTCAATTCCAAGGAAGAACCCAATGAAGTTCAAACTACATTGCGTATGACCTTACATTCCTACAGAACCAGGTTGTTCGGTGTGATATTTCATAGAAAGTTGTGTCAAGAGTCTGACACAAGTCCAAATTATCACTAAAATGTAATACTCATAAAAGAGTTCTGTCTTTCTGACATACTTTCTATTTATCAATAAAAATATGCATTATGATATTTTTATTGATGAATATAAAATATGTCCGAAAGACAGATCTTAATTCCTACAGCTTGAGGTCTTCTGTTTTAATATTCATTGAGATAGATGTAACCAAGTTGTTCAGACAAATTTTTGAAAGATCCATTAACACATTAAAATGATCTTATGACAGTGACTTTCTAAGTTCTTTAAATCATAAAATGATGGTGACATTAAACTTTGATACGTTGGTTTAGGGGTCAAATTACTTGAAACAATCTGAATCCAGATATGAAGCAATTCCCAACTCACTGACGACAGCAGAAGAGAGGGACAAAGAGTGTGGGACACAAATTAATAAATGTTTCCAATATATTCTGAATTAAAGAATTCAATATTAGTATTGCATGTACATCGTCGTCTTGACAGTCAGTTTTTAATTGAAAATGGCAACCACAGATAATTAGTTCAAATATAAATGGAGGTTAGTACAAAAATATTCGGCTGGTGAAATAAGGACTAGAAATGGTCTCGTATGACAAAGTTCATTCTTAAATGTCTACCCTGAAACTACAATTTTTAACAAGTTAATGGCAAAATCTGAAAATATAGAAAATTCAATATGATATCTTAAATTACAACTATGCATCGTTAAAGTTGATGAATCATAACAATTTAAAATTCATTATCCAATGTAGTAGCTAAAAATCCACATATTAAATTAAAAAAATGAAAATAATTTATCAAAAATAAAATTCATGATATTAATTTAAAAATTCAAATTCCTTACTAGAAAGTTCGATGAAGAAAGATTTTCTACAAAATTCAAGTTATATTCAATATTCAAGATAAGATAAAATATAGAAAGAAAAATCAAGATATATGTACCATCATAAAAACTGAAGATACTGAAAATTCCAGTAAGACTGTTTAAAAAAAATTCTGTGTTGCTTAGAATTCAGAATAATATTTTGAAACTGGAAGCAAATTAAGCTGAAAGTTCAAGATACTAAAATTGTAAAAAAAAAAAAGTTAGGAGAGA